CAGTGTCCCTTCCTGACATTCGTTTGGTATAATGACCAAATTATTTTACGCATTTGTTGCTTCTAACTCAATAATATCATTTTACCTCATAGTACATCAGTAACTGACTAATAAATTCCATAGTCTATAAGTATTCCTCTTTAATTATTCAAACATATTTATGAACTAATTATTAAATAATTATATTATAATATAGTGACATATTATAATTAATTTACAATATATAAATGGATAAAATTCAATATTATGAGAATTTTATTATTTTTAAACTATGTAAATTTATTACTATTTAAAATTAAACTACTGCAACTCTTTTTAAGACTAATTTTTAATCAAATATATCGACTCAAAAATGATAATTTAATTTAAAAAGGTAATAACTTAAAAAAAAAAAATGTATTTTAAATTAGTTTAATTTTTTATTTAACATTCATAATAAGATATAATTATAGAAATCAAATCAATTTTAATAGTTTTTCTCTTAAAATTTGTAACAATAAAATTATTTATGCCCATAAATATATTTTATGTATTATTATTCTAAACAAAATTGTCTCTTCTTCAAGGACATTTAAAATCGTGCAAGGTTAGTACATCCTTATTTAGGTATGTATTATTATAATAATTGCTTAAAAACTAATTGTAATTTTTATTATAATATGAAAGTTTAAAATTATGCGTAATGTCTGAAAAATTGATAGATTATTAAATTTAATGTTGCATGCGAATTTTTGTTATAAATAAATACATAATTCAATGCGGTTAGAAAATTGTGTCAATTTATTTCTCCCAACGCCCTAAGTGAAAACACAACCTTTCTATACGGTGCAATTAATAAACTATGTCATTACACCATTGTCGGTGCCTAATTTTGCGGCAAAAGTAATGCGAGTAAATCAGTATCTTCTAATAAGACTACGCACAACTTTAGATCCTAACTAATAATAATCACCACTAAACTTAAATTGAATCTCTTTTGACCACCGTTCAAAGACACAACTTCGTTCACAATTGATGTCTTATCACACTATATTTACACGTACACTATTCATCTATGAAAAAAAAAACGTGACGATTCGAGTTAATTACTAAATTAATTACATTTTATCCAAAAAGTAATACCATAGTTGATAATTGATTCTGCTAGTGCTTGATATACGATTCTAGTTTATTTTATTTCTAACTCGTATACAGTGCAAGTTAAGTTTTTGAAAACATAAATTATTTTTCTTAGTTGTGTTATTGTCTTAGCTAGGTATGTCATCATAATATTTAAGGTTATGGCACATTTCAATGCCCAATTATTTTCAAGATTTTACTATTTTTAATGTTCTTCGACGTGTACATGATATATTAGGTTTAAGCATTCATTTTCATGAATACGCAGGCTGTTTTTTACTGGGTGGTTCGAAATAATTATATAGTGTGGTATAATATGTAAGCATTATTTAAATTAAACAATAGTTTATTTGCACATAGCTATTAACTAATTTTACTCAGATTATCTTATCGTACACCTTATTCCAAAAGTTACTCACGACAAAAATTACTGTGTCATCAGTTTTTGTTGTTTTATTCAAGACAAAAAAAACATATTATTTGTAGCAACTTTAAATTTTTCTGCATAATGTATTATTTACTTTAAAACATCCTTCGTACGTAAGTCCTACACAATCGAAATACTCCTATACTTATAACTTTCTATACTGAGATTAAATTAAATTAAATTTACTTTTTATACTTAAAATGTATATAACAAAATAATAATATTCACCGTTCTAACATTGTTGAAACCGAAATAACGTTTAATGTCAAATATTCGATAGACCTATATTACGGCAATTAAACGTTATTTCATTATTATTTTATTATTATCTTTATCTTCACGGTCGGGTCAGTATCGCGACAGACCTAAATTGTGTGTTGACCTTTTAGTAATGTCATAGCTAATAAAATGTTCACATATTATATCACTCTTTATATTTATAAATTATTATATTTTTCAATATTTATACAATTTTTAAGAATTTATGTTTTACGCAAATAAATTAAATACTTTACCGAAATACGGGTCATTAGTCATTTAAAACAAACCCCCCTTCGGCCCTAACAAACATAATTATAACCTTTTACTATATAATTTAGACTTATTTTTATTATCAATGATACAAATTATACAGAATGAGGTCGCACAGGTAATTAATTTTGATAAATATACAGTAATCGTCGATCGTTAGCTCAGCTAACATCACAAGAATAATTAGAAAGAGGAAAAAATACATTTTTTTTTTTTAAAGAGGATTCTCACTTGAAAAACAGAAGCCTATATTAAAATAAGATACTTCTTAAGGAGAGCAAAAATTTTAAAGAATTTTAAAATATAGTCGTAAACTATACTTAAAATTCCAAAAATTTTATTATACACACATAGCGTATATACACTATTTCACGTATAAAAACTTATATACGAATGATTTTTTTTTTTGTAAGGGTGCTTATATCGGTCATAAAAATAACAAAACATAATAATACGATTTTTACGTTGATTTTTTTTTTATAAATAAAATTGTAATATTTGAATTCGTATTATTCATAACAATCTACTAAGTACGAGTACAATTTATAAATATGTATACATTTTTAACAAAAATCTGATGTAAAATAATTTTTAAAAAACCACAATCCATACTTTCGGCATAATATATTGAAATATACTCTATGGCTTTTCTGATGAATTATTCTAGAAAAAGTACCTATTAATATTTTATTTTCATCTTAAGAATATAACGTAGGTGATTTTATTAAGAAAAAAAATTATGCATCATTAAATTGTAACGATGCACGACAGCTGATTGACCACAAATGTCAGGTTATTAAGTAATATTATAACAGGTACGGTCTTAATTTGATTAGCATAATCGTCGTATACAAATGATGTCTTATAATATCATCATTATAAATACCTTCTGGAAATAAATTATAATACGTAATCACAATAGGTTGGTGTCGCATACGAAATCATTTCGAACCGCCTCCACACTCATAAAAATAAACACAGGACTACCTCTGACGAACACGCTACGACCTATGCTACTTTTTAACTTATGCAACACATTTTATAATACAATAATATTATATTAATCGAAACCACGAAAATCTCATCTCCGTTAGTGCGCTTGATCTAATGCTTCGGAAAAACATAATTCACAAATTATAATGATGATATTATTATACCGATTACTTCTCGGACCGATTATGAGTATGAAACGAAAAGATTTGTGCCTGACTTTTCCTCATTGATAAGTAAAATTATATGTTATTATAATCATATTTCATGCCAACCATTAGAAGTAAACAGAGACATAGAGTAGAGGAGTTTGATGATTATGCTATCATACATGATACTATGATAGTACAATCGATTTTTCCGAACAACTGGTTTAACAAATCACTTGTAAGCCGTGGTTTACATTATGATTATTTTTAAATATTACAAGCGCTTTAAAAAGTAAATTATTTACACAACATTTTTTTTCAAAACGAAAACTTGAAAACTTGATATTAAATAAATCATTTTTATAACTTTCAACATGTTTTCAATAATCTTTAATGATCAGTTTTATTGATTAGACAAAATATTTTGAATAAAAAAAAAAATATGCATAATATTATTATAAATATTATATGGGTTAGTTATTTTCCCTATTTTTGCACATAATGTGCGCCTGTATACAGAGTACCTAGATGATTGCATATTAAATTATTATTATAATCATTTGTTATTTTTAATTAACAGATATTTAATTTGGAAAACGATTCATATATTATAATATATACCTACATTTATACAGCAACCGTGTATTGAGGAATTCTGCAAAATGACTTTATAGTTTTCGGAAACTCTTCGCGTTTTTTACTACTCAAATATTCATACCATTGACAGTGGAATAAGACTAAAACATTAATAATTGTAAAAGTTAAGAATACCGAAAATCTTGTACTCACGTACATGACAGAACGATTATTCGACATGTATTTTATTCGCATTACGTATACAAACACTAAAACGCTCACTTCAACGGACGCGTGAAATGATTTTTTCGTTATTTGTATCACTGAAAATTCGATTTTTATGCATCGACGGAGATAATTTTTATTCGCATCGATAATAATTTGTTTTTACAGAAAAAAAAATCAATCGACGCGCAATCGTAATAAAACGTTTTATTATGAAGTCTAAAATTACTTCCATAATATAATTCACTGAACACGATATCGTTACTTTAGTATTCTAAGCACTGCAATGTACTGACTATAGAAGCTATGAGTTTTACGGTTCTGTTTTTGTTTTTTATTTATTTGTTTTATTTTTAAGCATTAACTACAATTCTGGTCTGCTTGTAAATCTTTTCCACGCAGTCAATACATTTCAAATTGATTATTGTGCTTATCCACTTATTTTTTTGAGTTTGATTTTTTGAGATAATAATATTTCCATTAAAACCATTAAACTAAAAATGGTTGGACATAGAATAAATGTCTATAAGTATTTATTATTTTTCGTTATAATATATTAAAAACTACATATTTTACAACCTAACCATTGAATCCATTCGATTATATCTAGATAAAATATTATGTACAGGATTATTTTTATTTATTTTTTTTTTGTGTTATAAGCAATAATTTTTGAAAAACAATCAAACTTTAATGAACGAGATGATATATTTTTCGACAAACAAAACCATTTTCGAAATCGCATTCTGCCTAAAATCGTTTTTGATTCTAATGATGCACAATGTACAATGTACGATAAAGTATCGCTACACACCACGCCATCACTTCAGCTAGTAATTCGACTTCTCCGAAGCACTGACGACTACGTAATGTATAACTTTATTTGACAACGATAGGATCACAAAAAAAAAATGTATACATTGTACCTATTAATATACTTTTAAAATGTTTGTACACAGAATATGTTATCATACATTTTTTTATTTTGTGTTATGATTATTTAAAAAAAAATTACGATCATTATAATAATTTTCAATATAAAATTAATCATAAAAATCTTATCTTTAGGTATCCAAGTCTCTCATTATTATACATATTGCATTGTGATATCAATATTGCGCTTTACGCGTTCGGGTTGGACAGTCTACCCATGAAAATGATGTCTTTTTCTTTCTTGATGATGAACAAGAAAGGATGACACGCATGGAACTTAACGTTCTTGATATTACTCAAAACATATTCCAGATTGTAATTCACGACATTGGTACCTAAATAAAATTGTATAAGTAAGTTATTTGAATTTCATAAAAAAAAGAACTACAAAAATTCAAGTCGAAAGATATCGAACAGCGTCCGATTATCCTTACCAGTAACAGCAGCAGCTTCGGTGCCGTATTCGTTAACATCTATGAAAGCCTTGTGTTTCATACTGCTGACCCTCAGTTTGCCAGGAGCTGATTTGCTGAGCTCGGAAAAATCGGCACGTGACGAAAACATATCGGTGCAACCCAACTGTGGAAAACAAAATATATTAAAGATTAATGCGATTTTTGTGACGTAATAACAACATAGTAATAATTAATAAGGGCATAGTTTAATTTTTTGATGGTTTATAATTAAGCATCACTATAGAACTCTTAAATAATATAATACAGTTAATACAGTGTGGGTTTTGAAACAAATATTATTATTTACTCTCGGCAAAGCTGAATTGTTTGTCCTTTATGTCCTCAATAAAAAAATTATATTTTTGAGAATTCTTACATCAACTTACATTTTAATTGTTCATTTAATTATAATTTAACGTAACAAATCTAAAATGTATTTATGAAATAAATATACTGTTATTCATTGAATAAGTATAATTGAATCAAATTAAAAATTTAAATTAAACATACAAAATATATTTTAAGTAATGTTTTAAAATATTATGTTATGATATTTTTATTATTTTCAGAAAACAAAAAATGTTAAATTAAAATAAGAATTTTTTCGTTTTTTCTCCTTGAACATTAACTAAATGTTTCATGTTTTCGATATGAAAAAAAAAAAAAAAAAACGGATAATATGCAATCTTAAATCGAAATTAAATTACAAAAATAAACTCAAAATAATATTTGTATTTTAGTTTATCGAGTACCTACATTAAAATAGATTTTAAATAAGGAGCTCATTAACAATCAAAACATTATACAATATACTGTATTTTTTTCAAATACCTAATAAAACTTTATGACTTCGATATAACATAAATATATACATTATTTTAGTTGAGAAAAAAATATTTGAAACTATTTTTCACTCAAATCATTTCAAGAAAAGTAGTTAGTGATACAAGTAATAATATAAATAGCCAATAGTTAACTACAAAATACAAAAATATATACTAACTAAAACTACAATAGGTTATTAATTCGAAGGTATATGACATACAATACTTTTAAAGGAGATTGTAATTATAAAAATGAAAACCTACATAGTATAATCAAAAAAAAAAAAAAAATACCATCTCTAAATTTTTACTTGTTATCCAAAACTATAATTAAATAATATTAAAAGTATAGTAATATATATTTTTATAACAAATTTAAAGATGTAATACAACTATATTATTTCCATAATTTTAATATAAATGCATATGTACTCGTAGATTAAAAAATTTTTAAATACACATATTTTTTTATAAATAAATAGTATAATATTTTTTAAAATAGACAATATCCGTGAATAGACAAAGTTTAAAATTTTACTTGTTTGAACAGAACAGATTTTTAAATTAATTTCATAAACTTTTATTAGGCATGCATAATTTAGTATTATGAATTTATTTTTATTAATTCTTATAAAACACAATCTCAATTTCCTGACCTTACCGATCTAACCTTTTGTATATTTTCCATTGTCTTCGATCAATGTTTAAGTTTTATATTACTACACGATTAAAAAATAATATAATAAGTACTACCTAATCGAATACATTCAAGCTTACTTATCACATATTGATATAACTATGATATTGAGCTTAAAGCATTTTAACGGTAATACGAGTAGATTATGTAAACAAAGTTTTAACTCAATGAAATAATCAAATCAATGAATAATACTACGAAAAGAAAATAATGATTTTTATTAAAATATTAATAAAAGTAGTTATCTATATAAGATTTATTAACATATCTCAAAAGTTAAAAACAATTAAGCATCAAATATTAAAATAATGATGAAAAATATTTACACAAACATCCACATGTTATATGCATTATAAATTATATTATAATTGTGCTTATCGAGTTATCTATTTAAATATATATTGGTTAAAGCAAAAAAGTTTTTATAATAATGACCAGGGCTCGGAAGTTATAGCACTAAAAAAAATGATTTTTAGCGCTTAAATATGCACATAAAAACATTAATATAAGCGCTATAAATAGCACTAAAAATTGGAAAATATGCAAAATAAAATTTTTTATTTAAAATTTTTTTAAATTATACAAGTTTTTTTTATAAAATATGATATAGTAAATATTTGAGAAGTAGGCACTTTTCCGGCTCTGGAACATTTTCTGTTAACATAAACATATAAAACAATTTATTAATAAATGAATAATATATTATTAATAAATGAATAATATAGTGTATTAATTTTATTTACCTTAAAAATTGCACTGAATAATAAGATGTTTTCTTATATTTTCAAATTTGAATGATCTACGATTATTTGATAGTAGAGTTTTGTATGCCGAGAATGACCGCTCTACATCAACAGACGTCAGGGGTGCGTACTTAAAAAATGTTAAGTCGTTACAATTTAAGTCTTCAGGAAGACCATCTAAATTTCGGAATGTCTCTTCACCCGTTAGAACTTGTGATATTTTTACCAACGCCGAGAGACCACGATTTTTTTCCTGTACCTGATTAAATTTATTTTGAACAGATTTTCCACTTGAACCACTTAATGTTTCAAATGATTTTTGAATATCTTGAACTATTTTTAGTGAATCCGATAAAGGTATATGTTGCTGTTGTAATTGTTCAATAGCCAAAATTAATTTGGCAAAGTTCGACTTAATATACGTTAAGTTGTTTTTCAATCCAGGTTTTATGATGTTATCTTGAGCATCTTTAATACTAACTGCATCGTTTCTGTCTAGCATAAAAATAACACGGTGGATTATCTCGAAATTCTCGCAATAATAAATTGCTGCGTTAATCCAACTTCCCCAACGTGTGATAATTGGCTCCGGAGGTAAGGGTAAGTTTGGCGCTTCCGATTTAAATACAAGTAAACGACTTGGGGCTTTTCTAAAGATTTTTTTTACACTTGAAATAACTTTATCTACTACGTGAAATTGACTTCTAACTTCTTCTGCGACTCTGTGCAGTCCATGCACAACACATGTTACATGAATCATTTTTGAGTAAAGGCTTTTTAGTGCTTCTCCTGATTTAACCATGTAAGGTGCAGCATCGGATAAAAATAAAAGTACATTGTCATGTTGGATACCAGTCGGCCATAATATGCTCATTGATCTATCAAAAAGTTTGCTGATTGTGGAGTGGTTAGCTTTTTCTAGTTCCTCCGAATTAAGTAAAAAAATATTGCCTGCATTATTTTCCTCAAGAGTGCCTACTATTACATTTGCAATGTAACGACCCTGTACATCAGTGGTCTCATCGATACTGACCCAAATTTTTTTGTCAGAAATTATTTTCCTAATTTTATCCATGGTCTCATTGTAAATATCATCCACATATCCTTTTCGCAACGTGGATTCACTCGGAATATCATTTTTTGTATATACTTCCAAAAATGTTTTGAATTTTGGGTTTTCTAACTTGTTCAAAGGAATGTTAGCAGAAATAAAAGCCTCACACAAATCTTTGTTAAATGACGATTTTTTACTTATATTACTTGTCGCTGTCAATAACTGTTGTTGTTTCCGATTTATTTGATATTCATATCGGGCAAGGCCTTTGATATGTTTGTCACTTTTTATATGTTGTGATACGTTAAACTTTTTGTCAGAATTAACTTTGATTTCACAAATTTTACAAAATAATACACTTTTATCAATTGAAAAAATATTAGGACCATATAAATTAACATAGGTTTGGAGCCGATATGACAAATTTTGTTTAACTTTGGGCATTTTTAAACACGATAAATACGATAGTTCACGATCAAACGCACACGCAACACGCAAATGACGGCAGAAGTGCAGAACGCAGAAAACCAAAATAAAATCATAGGTCTTTACGTACGGCGATAACGCCGTGTCTTACGTAAATACGACGAATTCGATAACTGCAGTTCATATTTTGATACAATTTTAAAAATAACTAAATTATTGGAAATTAAAGGAATTGTCCGATTTAATCGACGATAACAACGGTCTAAGGCCGTTTATTCCGGATGCGTACCATCTTAAAATAAAACAATTTGTTTTCGTTCACATATTCGTAGGCGGCTGTTTGGTAGGTAATTTAGTTTTTCAACAATATGTGTTTATTTCCTTAAATATGCCCATTTAACAGCATTTATAACTCCTAATTAGCAAAATATCTCCTATAATATGTATTTATGTGAAAATATACCCAAAAATAGCACTAAAAACCTAAAATTAGCAAAATAGCAGTAAAACCCGTAAATATGCAAAAAATAGCAAAATAAAATTTCGTGTATGACATCAGAGAAGTGTGAAATATATTTGTATCTTACTTTGGATGTTCTAGGACGAACCAATAAAAATATGCATTTGCTAGAACTTCCGAGCCCTGATAATGACTAATAAGTTATATGTTTTATACGTATAATACCTAATTACTTAGCCATAACGCCATAAACGACATGATAACATAGTAATGTCTTGTGTATACTTGTTTTCAAAAACTTTCAATATTCTCTGATATAGTTATGTCCCATTACATTGACATAGAAAAATATAATAAATTACAATTCATCTAATACGTATGATGTGAATTTTAATCATAAAGATTAAAACTGCATTAAAAATCAAAATTGTTAAGTAGATTCAACAAATATAATTATATGGTCATAAAGCTCTGTATATATCAATAAAAAAACAACATTACTTTCTGACTTGGTTCTATCAAAATAAACAACACTTTAAAATTATTTGATTTTCCTGTTTGTTAACTGGAGAACAAAAAAACATTGCCTTGATGCGTGTAACAAATAAAAATAAACCCCGTAACTCGACAACCTTCATGGTGTTTTTGTACAACGAAATATATTTATTTTTTTTATCAATAAAACACGTGAAAAGAAAATGTATTCATATAAAAATGTTCTAAACACTTACTTTTTCCATAGTATTCTCGAGATTCAAATCAGATTCAAACTTAAACTTTGGTATATCTAACTCGACATTGTGGATGGTCATGTTGTTCAGCAAGTACGCATAATTTTTAGAACTCTTGAGGAATACGTTTTCTAAATCTTTAACTGCGTCCATTTTATCAGGCAATATGATCAGCATCTCGTAACCACCCACCTATTGCACGAATCGATTAATATAAAATACAAATTCAGGATGTTATTTGGTTATAGGAGTGTGCATGGCAAAATAAATAAAGGACACTAACTGAAGTTCCCTGATGTATAAATATTAAATACAAATATATGTTTTTATTTTATAGATTAAAATAATATCCAGGAAATATTAAATAATCTATTAACCCCCATTCTTAATCCTAAATAAAAAAGTCCAAAATTGATAATATAGAAGCTGCGATAAAATGAATGCACAAATATTTTAAATATAAAGGTCTGGATAAGACCTATACCGTACTTTATACGGTATTTCGACGGCGGAGAACTTGTAATGATTATCCTTGTAATACTTAAATTGACCGGTTTGATGCATCATTGTAATATTGATGTGGTTTTTAGCTGTAAGACAAAAGCTCGCTTTTTTCGTTTCTGTGAATTGTTGTTTCCAAATGTTCTGAAAATGTACGGCCGACGCTAAAACCAACACTGTGTCCTTGTTAATGTCACCTAAAGATATATTATAATTTTGTTACGTCGAAGCATTATTTTCTAGTAATACCGTTGAAAAAACAACAGGCAAATTTGATTTTTACTATAATTTAATTACCTGGTTTGAAAATTCCGGAAATTTTTCCATTGGTTCTGTTATAAACCCATTTATTTATTTCTAATTCCCCGGATGTAGGGTTACCAGAAAAATCGACACTTTTCACTTCAGAATTTAAATATTTTTCTGTATTTTTCGTGTAATCTGTACTTAAACTGAAAGCTTTATCCGAGAAAATTCCATTAGCAACGGTCAAATAACCAGGGATCTAAGAACAATTAATGCAACTATAAAATGTCCTAATCATTAATAATTTGTCTGTAAAGGCATAAATATTTAATATTAGTTTTCTGAAAATATAAATATGAAAAAAACAGAAAAACATAAAAAAATCAATAACTGACATACTTGATTAAAAAATATTAAATTGCTCTACAGTTAAAAATATATAAAATTGTTCATGATTCAATGCACAATAAAATATGTGCAGACTTTTGTTTAGTCAACAAATACTCTTCTAAATTAATTTTTTTTTAACCTTTTTTTTAAAACATTATAAGTATTAACTATTAACATTTTTTATTCAAATATTGAGCATCGCATTATTTCATTATTTTGAAATATTACCAAGTAATTTATAATTTAAATAAACTATTTAAAAGTACCTATATTATTTACAGATAAATACTTATATTTTACCTATATGAGATATGCTGTTCATTAAAAATGAATGACTCATTATTTGCTAATTATAATTATATAATATGTTTTCAAAACGTATTGATTTAATTTCTTGAAAACAGATATACTAATTAAGCTAATCAGCAAACGATTTATTAATAACATGTTTTCTTAATGTTTCTTTAATCGAGAATTTTGAATGAAATAATTATAATAATAATAATATAATGTATTATTTTTAAATTACAACTCGAGCTAATTTTGTATCACTGATAAAAATAATTATTAATAAAATCCAACAAATTATTTTAGAAATACTTTTCAGTTTCTCCAACCTAACTATATTTAAAAATAACAATTATTTGTTCAATTATTTTTCAAAAAATATGTATAACTTAAAATTATTGAAAAATATTAAAAACACGTTAGAACTCCTAGATTAAAGACATTTTTGGTATATACTTCGAGCTTTGTGATGATCGCTTTGATATTTTCATAATTTGGTGGTTTGTCTTTGGAAAGGTGTAAAACACTTTTGAGCTGATCGTTAGTCTTAGACTTTGATCCAAAGGCCAAAAGCAGCAACAGAAACTGTATACTGTATGTAGACGCGAAAACGTTGCCTTCAACGGAACTACTGAGTTCCTAAAAAAAAAAAAATTAAACCGTTGAAGTCGTTACTAAATACCAATACAGTAAAACGTATAGTGTATAATAGAATTTATCATCTCTAGATCGTTTTTAAAATCTTAGCAGAAACCATTGAAGATGTATCATTCATTGGTAGTGTTTAACAACTCGGTATATTTTATTACCTTGAACAATGTGAACGAATAGTTTGACGTTAGGGATGTGTAGTGGATGTTTGCTGTGTTCTCCATGGTGTGTCTCGAGACGTCGGTCCAACAACTCGATCCACAAACAACTATATATTACAAAAATAGTTATAAAACTATCCGGTCCAACATGCGAACTACGTTTGCAGAACGTTTTTGAACTCAAACCTACTGTTAAAACCACAATTTATTAATAAGCGGTTATCGATCGTACACGACTATAACCGATAACGAGCGACGTCGACATTGCATGTACAAAAATGATCTTCGGGCCAAAGATCGACGTAGATAGGCGAATAACAGTTGTTAGCTCATTCCAATCGATTTTGCGCACATAAAACATAATATTAATAGTCATATCGTTTTAATTATTATGTTAAAGCGATTAAAATATTGTTTTTTTTTTCAATAACTGTAATAACAGTTCAATGACCGTGACTTGGTGGATTATTCTAGGTCATAATATTCAGGTATATATTATTAACGTTGGAAAATATTTTATAACGTGTAAAAATGATACAAAATTAAAATACTTTTTTTTGCATAGTATTTATAAAGTCACTTTAATTATGTATAGTCCTTTGTGTCGTCATGATCTCTGCTGTAGGTAATTTTTTAATTTCTTTTAAGTTATGATTAGAATTCTCATTCGATTATGATTCAGATTAGTTCGCATTATAAACAAAACTTCCATTTTCGGTCAAGTCTTCTGCAGTTTTTCAAAAAAAAACAGTAACGACGCTCGACTTCATCTACAAGTAATCAAATATTTTTGAGACTATTGAAATGTCTCTGAGGAAAATGTTTAAGTACAATGGGTTCGTGGCCAAGTCCATCGACGTACATATTCCGAATTAAATCTTTGCAGCATGAATTTTCTTTAACGCTTGTACACAGTAAACGGCGGAAAAAACGGAACAAATCTTGTGCCGTTTTTATGAAAAATCGTGCAAACGCGACCGTATAACTGAAATTTTTGGTGGAAACATCCGACACAATGGGAGTTTTAATCCCCCTCAGAAAATATCGGTGTCGTTATCCTATACTCAGTCCCGTAGATTAAACTTAATTTCACACAACGGCACCCACACATGACTATATGAGACATTGTTACTTGGACATAATAATAATAACATACATCTTTATTAACCTGTTTATATTATAATGTTACTATTAATATTTATTACTCACAAAGCTTTTAGAAAGATTTATACTCGACACTTTTTAGACACCGTCATAATATTTTGTCATCGTCACTGGTTTTTAATGATATTTATTGTATGTATTTTTCTACTGTATATGCATAAATAATAAACATACATAGGTACCTACTACGCCGGTCTTACTGACAAACCGAATAGTAATAAGTAATAACCTTAAATTAATGGTCCTAGAAAACTTTTATATTGTATGTACTAATTTGTAACAATTATCTTGGTTGTCTCAGAAAAATATTTTACCGAAAAAGTTGTTTTGAATAATACAATAATGCCAAAAAAAAACATTTAGCTAAATACCTAGCAGTGTACCTTGATTCTAGTCTAGATTGGAAATATTATGATTGATAGTCAAGACATATTTTTTAAATTATACTGACTAGTTAGAATACCTTATACACTAAACCTGGTGGAAGATGGTAAACAAACGACTTCTATATTATGTAGAAACTAATGAAACTTTAAAGAATACAATTGTGAAGTTGTGCCAGCAAATTCAACAATAAAGTCATCCAGTGTTGTCAAAATATTTCTCTTTGTGATGTTATCGTAGCATATTTTCGGTTATACATGAATAGAATTTTCCATGGCAATTAGAAAACATCTATCATCTAGGATGATATTAAAAATTTCGATTTAATAACATTTTGAATATAATAACTATCAATTATTTTAATCAAATTTTACTAGTCCGTTAAATTTTATTATAAACAATTTTTACTGTATATAAAATGCTTTATATTATACCTAATTGTGATAGCTTTTGCATCTTTTATAGCTAATTGTATGTAACGTATATTACAATATTCATTTTTGGCATAATATGTTTTTTTAACTAAAAAATGGAGATAAAAATACATTTTTAAACACCTCTGAATCAACGAATAACAATATGTGCACTAACATTATTCAAAAAAATAATAATTATGGAACCAAAACTTTTATACATTTCAATGTATAAAATAAGAACCATAAAAATTATTTATAGTAAATTTGTTGTTTTTAAATTAAATAACTTCAACATACTACCTAATAATTTATCTACTACATATATCAAATTTTAATCTTGTCTAGAAAATATGTTAACGTTTGGTTTTTTTTTATGTATACAGAATATTATAAACTTTAAACAGTTTATAAAAAAATATTTTTTAACAGTTTAACTACCTGTAAAATTTACAAACAATAAAACCAAAAAAATTAAATAATCAATTTGTTTATAATTAACTAAAAAATATAATAATTTTGTTCATAGATTCACGATTAAATACTAGATGAAAAATAATTCTTAAAAATGTATTTATTAATGAAATTTCGATTTTCATATGCCAATCAAATAGATTACAAAGTTTAATAGAGCTTGTTTGACATATCACATACAATAAATTCGACTTCTTGCAAAAACTAATTAATTACATATCCATGGTTACATATACTTGCAATGTTTTGTAGATACGCATTTAAAATTAAACAAACAGTAATTAATACAATTAAATACATAAAATGTATTAAATCGTTTTTAATCAAATCACTAAATTCTTCATAATGTCACTAGTTCTCATTTATTTTTGAAAATGTAATTTAATTTTAAACTAAACAGTAATATTAATGTTTACAAATACTTATTTACATTGCAGAATTTGTCAAATTTACAGTTTTTCCATGGATACTATTATATATTATAATATGACATGTATATTGTATAATATATATTATAAACATAATATTTTTAATACTAACTTTATACTGTTTTGTAACTTTTTTGAACGGATATTTATATTTTAACAGGCCATAAATAAATGTGAAGCTATAAAGTTATGCAATACGTTATTAATTGTTTATAATAGTATTATATTATTTTAATATAAATTCAAAAGATTTAAGTCAAACAATTTATATTTTCTCTATATTTAAGAATATGTAATTTTTATGAATTTAAAAGTTTTACCAAATCAATTTACTTATTTTTTAAAGAGAAGTATAAATTATATTTTCCCAATGACGATACCCATCTTTATTGTTTAATACCATGTAATTTATATCAAACTTTCTTCTGGTTATATTTCATTTTTGTTTTTTTTTATTACATTGTCTATTCAGAATATTGATTATAATATAGCGATGATAATTCATCATTTCTCATTTAATTTTTATATTTTAGAAAAAATGTCCAACAGTTTGTTTTAAAATGTAAAATATAAATGTTTTTAAAAACGCAAAATTTACCAAAATATTGCCTAATAAAATAATTACTATTTTCATATTATTATGATTAAGTAATAATTATAATATATTATTAAACAATGATATTGATTATTTTACTTAAGTGATATATAAAATGTTACCAATTAAGCAAAAGCATTATTCAATTACGATGGTGTTTCAGATTAATAACCTGCGCAGTTTCTGATTCACACCGGTCCAAGGGTTCGGTCAAAAAAAAAATGGCAAATACATCTGCGTTCCGTATAAAATATTGACATATAATCACGCATTAAAATAATAATAATGAAAATTAGTTAAAATAAAAACGACAAACAAAATTGGCAGTGATAAAATCTAAAATGTATTTAAAAAATTATAATATTGTAATACAGAGAATATGACTCATCATACTATAATGTACCGTTATATTTACTCTAAGGATTAAGACATAATAATTTATATTATAAAAATATTGTTATTTCTATACATATTACATACTTCATACTACTAACTTAAAAAATATATAGACATTTTAGGCAATGCGTAGTCTAATTTCTGCCATGAATGTATATTATTATTAATTAAATACCTCATTATTAAATACTTATAACTAATAAAATGTGTTAAAATTATGTATTATATTCATATGCCTAAGCGTTCACTAAGCGTTCGGGTTGGACAATCGACCCATAAAAATAATATTTGTGTTTTTTTTTATAATGAATATAAAAGGATGGCACGCATGAAATTTAACGGCTTTTATGTCACTTGAAAAGTATTCTGCATTGTAATTCACGACGCTTAAACCTATATAAAATGAAAAAATATGAAAGTCACTTGAGCTAGAATTTCAAAATAAAAAAAAAAAAATGAATAATATCTAATATTATACTATATTTTTTTTTACCAGTGACGCCTGCGGCTTCAGTTCCGTTTTCGTCAATGTTCACAAAAGCCTTATGTTTGATGTTACTAACTTTCAGCTTACCCGCTCCAGTTGTACTAATATAAGATAAATCGGCATTCGATGTGAATATCTCGGTACAACCCAACTGTCAAAACAATATTGATGAGCCTTACATAAGTATTCATAAGTATTAAATACAGAAATAAAGTTTTCTAAACTAATTTATACTCGGACGTATGATAGAGACATACGTGTATGTAGTTTTAAGTTGTTCAAAAGTAGTCTACATACGTTTCAAATAAATTACTTTTTAGACAAACTTCCGAAATATAAATTTGCAAAAATGTTATTACATTGCCCTAGGTCAAGAATAATGCAGTCGTGTAAATCTATCTGCACATTATGACGTGATCTAAGATTAAAACATTTATAATATCTAATATTTTAAGATTGCAATATCGATATAATTTTATAGTACAATAACTTCATATTAAATTTTTGCTATGATTTAATTATTGATAATATTTCTTGAGCCATATAAATAAAAATATTTGTTATTTATAACATTTTCTATTTAATTGAGTTACGATATTTTATCAACAATAATTATATCTAAATCAGCTGGATGCAAGTGATAGGTACCTGCTGTCATATAGAAATTATAATATGCATAAGAAATAAACCTGATAGATCCGCAAAATGTTAGGAACGATTTGTGCATATGAGTCAATAGGAGTATTTATTTTAAACTTAATACAATTTAATTTATTTTAACCTGACCATCATTCATCTAAATGTCTTTTATTTCTGAATGCTAAAGTTACTAAACACATAGTTTTGATATTTCATCTTTAAACGTTTTACACTATATAGCCGAATATATATAACGTTAAAATGTTAAAATTATTTTACTATACTTACACTTGTTTTATGAAATTGAAAAAATATCAAAATTCATGAAAATAGACAAGTCGAATGCCAAAATGGGTAGAATTTTATGAACGGAATTTAAATTAGAAGTAACGTGTATTTTATCAAATTAGGTAAAAGTTCACAAATTAACATTAAATTAGCGATTACAATATACAAATAATATATTCTGTAGAATGAAGAAACTGAAATATTGTATGAACCTTTATATCATAGAGTATGACATTTCAAGAGAGTATAATGATTTTTCCCCTCATCAGATTTTTCAAAACACGTTTTACAAATCGTTGAAATTTTTTCAACACAGTGAATGGAAAAAAATAAAAAAAATAAATTAGTTTTGATTGATGCGACGGAAAAAACAAGTCGTATAAATTATAGTCAACGGGTGAGATAATTTTGCGCGTGTTAGAAACTTTTACATGTCCTAATCGAATAACACTGCAGTGTTTATGCACACGTATACACAATACAGACATTGACATATTGTTGTTTGTTTTGTACGCATTATGCTCTGCTTTACTTACTTTTTCCATTGTTTTCACAAGATTAACAGATGATTCGAACTTAAACTTTGGTAGATCCAACGTGACATCGTGGACAGTAAGATTTCCTAGTAAATACGCGAAGTTTTTGGAGTTCTTTAGGAACGTGTTTTCCAAATCTTTCAACCCATCTGCTCTGTCCGGCATAATGATCAGCATTTCAAAACCACCTGCCTAATTCACAATAATTAGTGTATTATCAACAGCGATACTCAATTCATAAGATGAATACATATAAATTAGCTCCAACTCGATTACGTAATAAAATTAATTAATTTTTGTTTTTTTGAATAAAATAAATATAATATATATTATAGTTTTAGCCACTTATAACATTTAAAATTTTTTTTTAAAACACAAAAATTATATACTTTGTATGGAAGTTCAACAGCGGAGAACTTGTAACTATCATCCTTGTGATATCTGAAATGACCAGTTTGGTGCATCATTTCAACATCCATATGCTTTGTAGGCGTAAGGCAGAAACTAGCATTCTTCGTACCCGTAAATTGGTTTTTCCACACATTTTGAAAGTGTACAGCCGACGCTAAAACCAATACCGTGTCCCGATCTATGGTACCTGATGAAATAATAAATAATAATAGGTATATATTATGTACAACATTTTTCCAAGACTTCATTGGTACTATTAGTTTAACAGATATACTATTCTATATTATTATTATTAATATTTTCATCATCTTAACCTGGTTCAAAAATATTAGAAATTTTTCCACCAGTTTTTTGTTCAACCCAATTATTGATTTCCGAAACTCCGTTTGCAGAATTACCGGTGAAATCCAGACTCTTCACTTCAGCATTCATATAGACATGAGCCATATTCACATAATCGTCTCTTAAAACAAACGCTTTATCCGAGAAAACTCCATTGGCAATGGTTAAATAGTCAGGATCCTAAAAATGATTAATTCTACTTCAAATTTCTTAAATTTCATTTAATTTGTACAAAAGAACGTGACATGGCGTTATCTGAGACATACAGAAAACAATAAAAAAAGTTATCTTACAAAAATATTATAGTTGTTTTACGTTTGATAACGAATTACTAACTCACTCGATTTAAAATTCTTATAAATCATGTATATACTTCAAACAAAATGTTTTCGTTCGGTAAAAGATTCAATTTCGCGATTAAATGGCATTTATTCACAAAAATTATAATTATAATATTGATAAGAAAAAAAGAAGAAATCTATAAGAAAAAAATAATTTCATAAACTTTATCATAAATATTTTATACTAATCCAAATTCAATTTTAGTTCTGTTATTACTTATTAGCAATACTGTTACTATTTTATAAATAATATATAATTTATATACTGTAGTATATGTTTAATGTATAAAGTGTTAACACTGTAAACGATAAAATTAAATACTCCAGCTATACAATCTTAGATTGAAATGGTGTTTTCAAGAAATGAAACGAATTACCGGAATTCACGTTTTAAAAAATGTCAAGATTCCATTAACATTAACGTTATGTTTATTTTTATTTATAAACAATAATTATTTTCATACAAAAAATGTTTAAAAAAATAAAAAGTCTATCTAAATTATACTCGTATTATTTAAAAAAAAATGTAGCTGTATAGCACGTGTGCGTACCGAAACGGTTAAAAAAACTTGAGTATTCTCAAAATATGTATTTTGGCCAATTCCATTTCACTTCTCAAAACCCCACATTTCGATCCAATGTAATTCATTTTAAATATTTAGTGGTACCTAATGAACACATTACATAATATTGAGCTTATATAATATAAACCAACAATTTACTAATGCACATATAAATCGGACCTTACTATATAATTTAATCTATTTAATGATGTATAAAGTCATATAAAATCACGATTAAAGTTAAATTTGAACTATATTATTAATTAACTATACATTTTCTTTTTATATATATAATATATTCATTATTATTCTTAGATTTTTGAAAAACAAGCTGTAATTGGCCAATATCAAACAATTTGAATGGGCGTTATTTATTTTATGAAGAAACTTTTATTAAATCTACTATAATCATAAAAAAAGTTACTTATTTTATATCCACCATATTATTTATTCATTATACATTTTTTTACTTGTCTCTTGGATTTAATTTAACAAAAACAAAAGACCGGACATGTTTTGTTCATGTTTGTATCTTTTGTGCGTGAATTAGACAACTCTTTATGCTAAAACACTTGAGTGAATTTGTAAAGTTAAATTGTCATTTCATTTTTTAAAGCATAAAACTAAAATGTTTAAAAGAAAAAACTGAGGATTCCAATAATAGATTAATTTTAGTTTTAATACTTAAATATTATAATAGCATTTAAAATAAATAAGAGACAAGTAATAAAAACTATATTTTGTTTGCTTATTTTTATTTCTTGTATATATAAACACGAATTGAATAATTTTTAACTAAACTCAAAATTATATTATAATATGGTAAATATTTTCTAAAAGCTCCATAAAAATTGTTATTGGTTAAAATCTTCACTATCATAAATAATCATTTTCAATTTTAAACTTGTATAATCACTTATTCTGAACCATAAATATAATATGCATAAAATGTAAGTATTATGATTTTATACCATAAAGTTATATAAATATATATAAATTTAATATTTCAATTTTCTTGAAAAATAACGAATTTTAAAATATTCTTTAAATCTCAAATTAATCATACGAGTAAATAAAATATTACAAGTTAACAAAAGTATCAATTTTTAAAATGTATTAAAAAAAAAAAAATTCTGACAGAATTAACAACCAAAATATAAATTATGTAAAAAAGTACTGTACCTACTATTATAAAAGAATACAAGTTTTCTAGTACTTTTGACCATTCCAATTTTTAAGTTCATTATTTCATTAACAATTTTTAGTTTTTACCTACATTAAACAGAAATATGTAATTTATATTTTGGGTTTTTATTTTTTCAATTTGTTTGTTTTAATACACTTTAAAAAATTGATATTCTGTTCAATTTATAGGCTTAATTATTTAGGGTTTACCAAAATATTTTAAAATTTATTATTTTTCAGAAAATTAAAATATTAAATTTAACCTGATAATGTTTTGATACAGTAAAAACTTATAAGTGATAAAAAACATATTAAGACGTAGATAATAGTTTTTTAACGTTATAATAAAATTATAAGCTCTTAAGAATGTATCATGTGATGGCTTAAATTGTTTAAAATGTATTAATTATTCAAACACATAAATCTATTCAATAAATAAAGTATAAATAATAACATTTCTAATAAAATTTAAATTAAATTTTAAATTTTAATTTATTAGAATGAAATTCTAATAAATTTCTCATAAAAATTGTGTTCGATGATCAAAGATAAGCAAATCTAAAAGGTACTTAAATTAATATCTAAATATAAAAATTAGTTATACTTATAGTATTTTATTGCAGTATTTTATAAAATATATGACGTAAATACAATATTTTTAAAAATTCAAATTTAACTTCAAAATATAATTAAGTGTAAATACTTACATAATAGTTATCTATACAAGTAAGACATTACAAACTGCTTGATATCTATAAATATTAACTTAATAATATTATGTACCACTACTTCAATGTAATAAAACAGTTTTGAAAATTAATGCTTCTATGAATAATTTAATTTGCGCTCAATTAAAAATCGTCAATAATGGTGTTGTGTGAATGATTTCTAGCTTCTATTTTATCCAAAAAGTATTAAACAATAAAAGTGCATTCGGTTAGATAACCAATATTTCCGATTAAAACTAAATATTATTGTTACTTTAAGAAACAGAACCAAATTGTTTGAACTAAACAATTTCGATGTAATTGAGGTTTTGAGCGATTCCGTTAATTTTTATCCAATGGACAATTATTTCTAATTAAAAAAATTACAGATGGCTATAAGAAAAAGTAGGAGACATTACCATTCAATCAACTGAAACTTACTTCAATGTTTGCTATAACCGCCTTAATATTGTCGTAATTCGGCGCACTTTTTGGTGGCAAGCGCAGCAACGTTTTGAGTTGATCGTTAGTCTTTGACTTGGAACCGAACGCCAGGAGCAATAACAGAAATTGCACGCTGTACGTTGAGACGAACACATTGCCATCGATAGAAGCGGTCAATTCCTAAAAAAAAAAACAGCCCCAACGTCTGTATTTTATAATGTTTCGTCAGACAACGGTGGCATTTTCACTGCGATGTACGCCAGCCGTACGGAACTCGGATCGTATCCGCTTTTCCGTAGCGGACAATACCGTAGCCGAAATACCATACACTCAACATCAAATTGGAATAGCCGAACACGGTATGAAGATGACACCTACCTTGAATAACGTGAACGAATAGTTTGACGTGTAGGAGGTGTAATGGATATTCGTTGTCCGTGAGTTCTGCATAATGATGACGGCGTTTCCGAAGGACGATGATCGATCGATCTGCTAAATCCTGCTCAGTCAAGCACACGAACTGCCGGGATTAGGAGCGGCGGCGCGGTCGCGTCTTGTAATATATCGGCGTACCTATGTTTACGTATCATAATTATTAAACACATCATAAGAATTTAACATGATTTTTCAAACAGTTATAATAATATTAATAATAATCATATTATCATCCGCTTCCGGCGGCAACCGGAATACCCGGTGCTGATAACAGACGCGCGATCAAACCTAGTTATTATCATTATTATTATTATTACTATATTTTTTACTATTATATAATCGATCTCTAGGCCAAAGATCAAGAAACTCGATTGGGCGGGAGCGAACATAGTCGTCATCGAAAAACATTTATGTTCGAACCAATTGTGCTTATCAATGAATATCAGATAAGAGGTTCACTTCGTGTTTTTTATAATCCTATTATTATTAGTACAAATTAACTAGTAATATTTCAGAGTTTGATGACCGCTCGACGCACCCGTATAATTTTATAACACGAGAGGTCACTGTAATAATGTAATATATTATAATTATAATATATATTATATATATATATATATATATATATATATATATATGTGTGTGTGTGTGTGTGGGTGTGTATGTGTGTTGGAATTTACCGGACGCGTAAGACACGGAAACCTGCACTCTGTCACATAGCAAGCACGCAAAATAAAAACATAAACCTAATCTCTGCTTTTACACGACGATTTTTCGACGACTCTCTTTCGAACGACCTTTATGCATGCGGGTGGAACGTACAGTAATAGTATCCAAAAAAATTACACAAAGCGTATAATACGAGTGTCATGACGTACCATATTGACATGAACGTGTTAAAAGTGTCTATCAAAATTCGGTAAAACCCTGTAGCAAAATGTCCCATGTGAGGTCGTAGGATTTCGGTTGTAAATAAAACACAACTCTAATATTCGTATATTACGATATATAATGTGTTTGTTTTTGATTTTTTTCGCTATGCACACTAGTATGGCTTTCGTCTGCATTTTGTTCTCTATTAATCTAATATCTCTATTGCACTATCCGAGTGAATAATATCTCTAAAAAACTTTCTCTTGAGTACCGCAGAAAAAGATATTATATAATAATATTGCAGTGATTATTTACATTTTGAATTAACGCTGCTACACGAGTAGCAGGTAGAGATTTTTTTTCTGATTCTGCTAACCCGACATCTGTGTACATCCATAGATATATATATACACACTTTTAACGTAAACTGCGGTGTATTATGATAATATAATGTATTTCAGACATATAATTTACAAAAGGTTTATAGGTTTTATAAAGGTTATAAAAGAAAATAAACTAATGAATAAAGTTATGCTTTTTAATTGCGTAGGTACGATAAAAGTGCCGTATACAAATCGTATGATTTATAAAGAGTGTTCTGTGTATTGAATCTGTATGCATATTATATTGTAGTATATTTTATTACTTCGAATATAATTAATAATTTGATTGTCACATGGTTTTTAATTGGACCAAAATACGAATTCAACTACTCAAACACAAACTACCTGTACAATTAGTATTAAGTATATAAAATATGTAATAACAATTAACTAAAAAAATTATAACCGCCACGCCATTCGTTAATAATTTTAAATTATTAAATACCTGAGATATATATTACATATATACACATTTAAATCAATATTCCTCGTATTTCGCTGTCAGTGACATACTTTCAATAGATAATTTACAAAAACAAACGATATATTTTATACCGAACAATGCATACTTTCTTCCGTTGTTTGATACAAACATTTTTTTTTTTTTTTTTAATAAATATTCTGATAAAGTAACTATTTTAATGATTTGTGCAAATTATCACGTTTATATTATAGTAAGTATGCACTGCCTAAATAATAAATTACAATATGTATTCTAAATATTTTTGTACAAAAAATAATAATCAATAAAACAAAATTACAATAAGGTGATAATTAATATTGTGCTATTTATATCATATTTACAAGATATTTATTTAACCGTAAAATAATGACATAAATATGTAACTATTTCGCATCAATATAATATTTTATTATTTTTATAACTTATCAAAGTTAACTCAAATTGTCTAAGACCAACATCTAAAATTCCATCAAATTGAAAATAAAACATGCTATATTCTTTGATTTTATTGAATTTAATTTTTTTTAATAAAAATCCTCTAATATATTTCGAAAAGCTTAAAGTATTTTAAGAGTTTACTCGTGTTTTAGATACAACCGCTGTAAAAGGCATTTTAATAATATGTAGTGCCATAAATCTTTTGATTCTTGAAAAATAGCCAAAAAGAAAGGTACAAAATTCGTTGTATAGATACAAAGGTAATATATTATAGTGTGATACATTGATACACATTTCAATAAATATTCCATTTAAAAAAATTAAAATGTAAAATATTATAGTTGTCTAAAAAAAAAAAAAAAATGACATAGTTTTACGCCAAATTCCTAGGTAGACATTTTTATTACATCATTATATTTTATGGTACAAGAAGAATATCATAATAGAATTTAACTTTCACCTCAATTTATACATTAACAATAAAGGAATCACTAAATTTTAAAAACAATTTTATATTAATAAAATAATACTATGTTTAAACACATGTTTAATATTATTATAATAAAACGGAAAAATTATTTATGATATTTATTTAGCAACAATATTTTTCTTTAATGTAATAAACGATAAAACATCACGTTTTTAAACAAAGTTTAATCTTTTTCCACACAAACCAAAAACTTGCTGCAGTCCTTTTCTCCGACCACGATTCCTTTGGGTGTTATAGTTACGCAATTTTGTTTATTCAAATCAGACCTTTCAGAATCAAACAATTCCTGCATACGACAGTTATCTAACAAAATGTATACATCGTACCACTCAACTTTATACACAACATTCTAGTATAACAAGTCACACAATAAACTTCAAAATCACTGTGCTTCTACTTTAATGTACACTGGAATTCGTATAGCTATTTTATATGTACACTGCAACAACGACGTATACAGTGAAAATAGTTTTATAAGTGTTGAAAGTTAGTTTTTTTTTTTTACTCAATTGAGGTTTAATATTATATTTACATATAAATTACTAAAACATAAGGGCAAAAAACCTATTATATTATACACAAATTCTAACCTCAACATGTCATCTCGTCACTTTATATTTAATAAAAATAATATTATTCTAACTTTAAAATAAGTACATAAATCAAAGTTATATACGAACGACGAAAATCGTAACTAGGTTTTCAAAACAATATAATATTTTATCAGTTGTATGGCATAGTCGAAATGGTACATGACTTTATTTCGATTGCTCGTAAAAAATATTAAATACGTTTCTCTAATAATTAAATATGAATAGTATAACCTATTTATAAACCTTTAGATATAATCGTTATTTTTATGTCATAAATATAATATTTCCCCATTAAAAAATTAGAGTTCGTAATCCTAAATTGTTTTTTTAACAAAACGCTAAATTTTTTTTTTTAATATTTTATTATTATGATTATTGATATACATTTATGTGTAAAAAAAATAAATATATTTTGGGGAAAAATATAAGTTGTCTTATTCTCGATCACAGCGTAAAACATTTATAAACATTAAATCACAGTTATTCTATACTCTGTTATAATGTTCAAGGTCTTACCTTTTACTTGTGCTTTTGTCGATTAAAAATTGACGACTGATGAGAGCCAATACCTTAATAGATGTAGACAACAAACGTGACTATACGACTAATGACATATTATGACGAATAAATTATTTCGTTCAACTCCCACCGTATCTTGAAAGTATAAACAATAAATGGATTTGAGTAAAATAACGATGAAAAAGTAGTTAAGATGATTCTCATACGAAAAAATTTTTGTCACCTTAACCCTTAAAACATTGAAAATAAAATACCATTTTCTGTATACGTTTCGTTTATTGAGATTAACTACTAAACGGCTCAAAGGATATAAAGTTTTAATTGATTCGACAACACGCTGATAATTCTATATTGTTAGCTAACTAAAAATTAAAATAAAGTAATACATTTTTATATTGAAGACATCAAACCAAAAGTAATAAAACTAAAATATTATATTTTCTATAAAATGAAATCGAAGAAAGTACCTTTGATTATAGAGAAACTCTATAAATACTATAATGCATTTTATTTTTAATCATAGAACACTGCTTAGTTTTTTATTAATCATTTTTGGTTATAAAGAACACCCGACGAAAGTTCATCATAAATCTCACATGGTCATAAAAATTTCACGAGGGTTATTATTAATGCATAAAAAAGCAAAATTTTAACTTTATATATTTCTGAAACACTTTCAGATTTTTTTCATTATACTCTTTGTTTGGAAAAAAAATATACTACAGATGGTATACTGTATAACATCAACGTTCAACATTCAGAAATAATATGCTAATATTATCATAATTTTATTTCAGTCGCGTTTTACTTCGTTATCCTGGTAATTTTTAAGCATACAACGCGATATTTGCATATCAAAAGTTTACATTACACACAATAATAATAATATTGAAGGATTGGTTGAATTGGTAATTCACATAGTGCGAACAAAACTTTCGCATACATTTCAAATTACCAGTTGACTATACTCTCAAATATATATAAACATTTTGTCATGTTACCGCGGAATCGTGTTTGTCAGTAAACTATCCCGTGAAAATTACATTAATTCTTAAATAGGATTACAAATACAATTGCACCAGCGCACTACACGTTATAACACAACGTATAATTTGTCCGATGCGAAAATGTAAAATCAATATAATAATATTGTTTTACGGACGAAATGTTTTACGACCGGCCTCGTGCTGCGACCGAGTTAGGTATATATCTAAACACTAAAGTTATATATAGTTTATCACGTAATACTCGAACTTTCGTGAAATTTATTGTAATTTTCGTCTGTGATGACTACAAACAAATCAACTGATGTTTTTTTCAGTGTATGTGGAACAGTATATGAACAAATGAATGAAAACAGTGCAATATTTACTCACTAAAACTTCTCTGACTATACTATTTCCATAGTCGTACTATGATAGTTGCGAAGTAATTTTTTCGCTTGAAATTAATCAAACGTTTTGACACAAAACAACTATAGTTAGGTGCTCGGTGATCCTAATGAGATTAAGGATGGAACGCCAACCTATGAATTCTTTTAGTAGACATTTCCCACCCAACCATCAACTAATTTTGTTAAAAAACATTCATTCTTTTGATTTTTTACAGTTAATTGTTATCATAATTTGCATGTTAAAAAAAATGTCGGCTTTATTTAAAAATATGTATTATTATAAATTATTTTATTTTTTCGAAAAAAAAATATTTTCTTTTAAAAGTATGTTAACATTTAACACCGTAAGTCAATCACACATATAGTCATAAAAATGTACATACAAAATAATATAATAGATAATCACAGTGATCGATAACAGCACAGTATGATGACAACTATAGTAGCAATTATAGGGGTGGCGAACACTTGGTCCATGACCCATAATGAAAATTCGAGTTCAAATAAAATATATGACATAAATCATAATTATAACTCCTTGGACGTTTTAAAAAATCTAATTTTCCCATACTTTCAGTTATATTCCACTAAACTGAGGATTATGAAAACGCAACATACAGCTATTAATATTGAAATGGCCGCGGCATCATTCACCGCTCATTTTATCTATTTTAATCGCTTTATGTGCACCTATATAATGACAATATATTTTAATAAATTGAATATGAAAACATTTTTGAAATATATGCATTTAACACAACGTTATAATTTGTTTATGATATATTGATACCTATTTTTTTGGAGAACGATTTTAATTTTACATTTTGCGTTCTAAAATTATTGAAAATGAAATGAAAAATATCTATAGTCAGAAATAATAAATATCGCATATTATAATACCGTATAAATATATGATTAAAAATACTCCAATCTACTTCGCCGTTTTCCAGCTAATTCACAGACCACAGTGCATATAGTATTTCTATAAAAATCAATAAAGCATACCTAGTAGTAATTAAATTTGTGTCTAAATCATTTCCAATAACATTCATTAATACAAGGTAGATAGTATTATGTACTGTATTAATTTAGATAATAGAGAAACTCTATTCAAAACTAGACGATTTATCATATTTGACCAGTACCTACCATAAATGTGGTAAGAATGAGATATAGCGAGACATTACTTACCAACATTTTTTTTTTTTTATTATAATGTATATATTATATGTATAATATTCGGTAACGCACTCAATCTTTAATTTTTTTTTCAATAACGCAATAATTATAAATCCTATTTTTAATATTTTTAAGCAAACTTACAGATCGTATTTAATTATTTTTTACTATCTGTACCAGCTGTACCTCTTATTTGGAGGTACAAACATCTGTTTTTCAAATAACGACTCCCTTTTTCTCTACTTTAAATTATTTAGCAAGTAATTTTTCTGAAATAATTGAGGTATCAAAATCAAAATTTAAATAGATAATTTTTAAGTTATTTTACTTTGCATATTCAAGATAACAAGTCTATGTGGCCATGTCCCATGATAATAAACTTAGAAGGAATAGAAGCTGTTAGTAATTTTACCATCTTAGTAATAAATATTAATCTGTAAATCTAATTTTACATAATATATTTTATATTTTTTTTCTAACCGTTTCTAAGAATTATTTTTCTTAGAATAAAAATTTTAATAAATTAAAAACAAATCGTTGAAATGTTGAAAAAAAATAATATTCACTAAATAATTTACAATAAAAATACAGGAATTTTCATTTAAAATATAGATATTTGTATCACCATAAAACACTTCTAAGTATTAAAAAAAAAAAAAACCTAAAAAAAAAATGGGAAAATATAGTCTTTTTAATAAATTTGACAATCTAAAAATTGAAATTTGAATAAACTTATTGTTAAATGAAAAAACTAGGTGATATGTTTGATGATCACTCTGTATATATTTGGTGCTAAGTTAGTACTTACATTTTAAATGTTTAATTTTCAAAAATAACCCATAATTTAAAAACATAAATATTTTGTTTCATTTTACCTAGCCTTGCTTTCATACATTAAAAAGGTATGTATACCTACCCAATATTAATATTATTAAATCAACTAAAATATATAATGCAATAAAAATTACTAAAACCCGCGCCTGGTATTTTTTTCGTCAGAACACAAATAATCATAAAAACTGACATTGATGGCTTAAAAATAGTTTTTTAAATACACAATTGCGATTCAAACTTAAACTTAGATCGGGTTTGGTACATGGTATTCTCATACTTATTAAAATTATCAATATTCTCTCATCTAAGGTCAAATAAAACTCAGGATATACGATTGTCAAAAGCTTATCATATTATTTTATATAACTATTATAGATTTTTCTTTATATTTGAACAATTTAAAATCTTCTTTGTAACGTAATAAGTACTTATATGGTCAATATCAATACAGACGTATAAAACCTATAAGAATAGGCTAACGCAAATATTATTGAATACATTAAACATTTTAGAAAGTCGAGATTATAATTTTCTACAATAATTCATGTACATTACAAACTATATAGTATTATTTTATAATAATATACAGTTGTATGACACAACGTGCATGGAATTACGTTAAATAATCCTCCCGTACAATACAGTCTGATCGAAAATTAAATTATATTTAGGTGCATCAGTCCAATATGAGTTTTGAAGTATGTAGGTGTAATGCAATATGTATGAATAACAAAGTTTTCGATTAGAAGCAAAACTGAATAATTCCATTATATATTTACTTATCATTTATAAAATACTAAAACAACCAAATAATTCGGATCACAATACGTAAACATTTTATCGCAAGCCATAAAATACGCTGAAAATAATTTCGAATATCTTCAAAAACCAAATTTATATAATAAATATTCTAATTGGATAGTTCTACTAAACGATAAAATAGCACTGTAATAAATAATTAATAATTTTTTTTTACAACGGTCATATTTTGTACTCACTACCAAAATACTTATTTATACTTATTATTAGTATATTTAATAAAAATAACACTACCATTTGAAAATTATCTAGTGTAAATCTTTTATTATTTTTATTTTTTATTAGCTTTTTATAAATTCAAATCTTATACACTACATCTTTAAGGATTGTACATGTACCTCTATCATATTACGAGTATAATAGTATAGTACAAGAAATATTTTTCTTAAAGAGAATATCATATGATATTTTTATAAGCTCGTGCCTTTATATTTCCAAGATATTTATACTGGTAAATATGCAAGTCAAATTTGTGTTGTTGTATATTACTGTAAGTTAAGACTGTAGACTAATTGCTACATTATTAATTCAAATTTTCTCCATAGGTAAAAGAAAAGGTATGTATTTATGTTAAATTTTAATTATGATATTGTACCTTAGGCGAATAACGAAATACTTGCGAATTATAAAGTTTGCTTTTTCACCTTATTATCTTAAGCTATTGTTATATTATATTGTAACATACTAGCTTTTAAGTCTTAACAATTTTTTTTGTTATAAATAAATAATATAAATCCTGTTTACATTCGTTTAATTCTTATAAACAAGCTCTTATACATATTGAATAAAAATGTTGAATTTATATAATTTATAATATTTTTTAATGAACGCATTTTGTGAAAATTACCTAT